TTCTGACGCTTATTTAAATGTTGGTCCAGTCCCCCAGTCTATGCACCCTAGGAGCCGGTAACACGAAGCTGGGTCTCCTAGGATTCCTAACGGCTGGTGATTTCATTGTTTACTCGAAAGTTCACGGGACTATTGGCCGAGATTCTGGGGAAATTGTTCCCGTCGTAGCGCCAAAAGTTCAGTGCACAAAGTTTCCTTTTACTTTCCGTAAAGACTTTTCGATCCTTATGCCAGTAGACCGCATACAAGAAAAATAACGCGCAAAATGTTTCATAATTGGCAAACTCGAGCTGTATTCCATCATGCAAACCCTGTTGGTTTTCACGGTCGTACCACTGGGTGTTCCCGCAGAACAGTTTCCAACAAAGGTCTCGTGCTTAAAAGCGAAATGCCGCTGATAGGTATTCAGAACAAATGCTCTCCTTAATCACAACTCACTGATTTCAGCAATGCTGATGCAATTTTGGCAACGAATGGCAGTAGTTGACTGCTCGAGATTTCCCTCCAACTCCGGATCAGCTGGATACTTAAAAGTTCATATCATACGCGGTTGCGGTTTGTTGCGGTATGTAGTGACCGTCGATGATACATCTTTCTAATCAAAAGTGTGCTCGCTTCGTTGGTCTAATATTATGACGATTCAGTTTGCGAACCCACAACAATGCGACTGTGCTTACCAAATAGCCTCGCTGACGTCTCCTAAGGAAGGAAGTCAAAGCCTGCATGATTGATTGTTTGTGAAGTAAATCCGTGATTCCAACGAGTTCGGAGGGTGTGGGTGCTATGAGAACATGTATCAGAGGCTAATTTATACTCGCAATAGGCATGTAATGAAATGACAAACCTTAACCCTGGGCAACTAAACAGTCATTGTAACAGTTAAAGAACCTGGGATCGTATCCTAAGAACAATTGGCACAGTTCTTCGCAACCTGAGGAATGTCCACAGCACTGATCAGTACCATAGTTTCATTCTCCTTCCAATAAGGTTGCTTTCGTAAAGGCAGTCTAGTCACCTAGGTTGCACATATGTCAAATTTTAATGAAACCTATAACCTTGACTACCCATTTAGGAAAGTTGGACAATTATGGGCTTTCTGTACAACGGTGATCTGGACTCCAGTGAGAGTCATTGAGGTAACGCAAAAGCAGCTTCAGAGTGCGTCCGTTTCAAACGGAAAAACTTCAGTCTATTGTGTGAAAGGATCACAATACTTATCAAGTTGCAGAATACTTCGGCATCCCACGACCATTTTCGCCCTTATTGGGGTTCATCGGATTGGCGTAGTCCCCGAGTTTTTGTCAACCTTATGAATGGCACGTTTGTCAAAAAAAAACAGTTACAGGTCACACACAGAATGTGAGTTCATCTAAGCCCGGTGACATTTTTAATGCTACCAAGTAAAAGCGTCATAAACGAAAGATTTATCTAAAGCCCGTTGGTAATGTGAGTACATTTAGGAATTTTCAAGTTAGATTTCGTCCTGTCAATGAAACTAAACTATGCTGGAAAGCTGAGAAGCACTCTGCCGCTGTTTCATCCTTATCGGGACTCATAAATGTGCATCTCACGAAACTCCAGACAGTTTCGAGCCCATAAGCTTCCCGTCAATGGTTGAACATTTTACCGTTGGGCCACGAGCGGTTGGTCGGCAGTGTGAGCAGCTCTCACTCATCCTCCAATCTTGGAAACCATATCGCGTGGTCACGTATTGGCGTGACTGCCTCTCCTAGTGACGATTTCTCGTATCTTGTGGAATTATTCTTCCTTTGAGCTACCTATAGACTGATTGTGATGTGAGGAGATTTTATCCTGTCAGGGAAGCCAATTTACGCTGAAAGGCCGAGAATCACTGTAATCCTTGTTTGAAATCATCAGCAGCGCGTGCCTCAAAAAACTCCGTTTGGAAACTGCAACCTTTCGACCAGTGGTTGAGAACTTGACCGTTTGGTCACCGGCGGCTGATTAGTAGCGTGATTAGCTCTTACTTAGGACATAGGTCCACTCCATCACATGGTCACCTGTTGACTGGGTCCTCGAATGGCGACTTCTGACCATGTGAATTAATCTTCTGAACCAGTGGCCGAACGGTTTAGTCTTCAGCAAATAGCCGGTAGACTGCAAGTTCGAATCTTCCGTTCACACCGATTCACTATGCAAACGAGTGCTAAATGTACCGGATTATGCTGTCACACGAACCACCGACCTTCGTTTACACGGTTCGTGCTTGAAAGCCTGAACTGAGCTGATTGGTGTTGCACGTAGATCTCGGTTCGAGCAGCTAAGTCAGCGCTACACGAGATTGCTTTGCGTGATGAGCCTGTCTGCCTTGTCTCCGTGAATACGAAATGTGTGGGCTTTAGTGTGCAGACAAGGTTCGGTAAGTTTCAACATGTATAATGACTAGTCTAGGTGTTGTCTGTCCTCAGGTCGCCGTCTCGGAATTGTTTTATATTTTTGTTCCCTTGTTCTCTGAATTTACTACCAAGTGTCATCAGATAAGCTGTTGCCGGCTCTTAATGCACTACTCATAAGGTTGCTGAAAATTCCTCGACATCCCGCTACTAGTTTCACCCTTCTTGAGGCTCATCAGTTAGACACAGTCCCCGAGTTTCCGTCAACCTTGTGTTCAACTTGAAAACAACTTGCACGAAATTAGTGAAATACACTCATTTGCAAAACAAATTTGGTTTAGCAAATGAGTGTATTTAGTTCTGTTTTTTTTAAACTCGGCAAATCTTCATCAGTTCTTCCCCACTCCCTTCCGGTGTCCACTAAACTTGTAGAGAAAATTCAGAAAAACTGCGTGGCTCGAATCATCCTGGCGCTTTTCTCAAAAGCGCCATCCCTGCGTACCGCGAACGTGTGCTTGCCCTGAGAGAAGCACTGTATTTCTTGAAATTGACCATACTTGTTACTTAATTCTATATACCAAAGGGATTGTTGTTCCTGACCTCTACTACCTTCCAGCTGACCACTTACCCGATAATATGAGGGCATTGTTTCGGATCGCGGCTGTGTTCTTTCCAGAATCGTTCAGCTCTAACCTAGCTGCCATACCACTGGAAGGAAGCATGAGGACCGGGATAGTGCAAGGTCGCCCAAGCCTAGACAAGAGAAGTCGAGAGGCAGAAGTCTGGTTCGAACCACGGACCTTCCGGTCAATAGATTCGCGCTCTAACCACAGGCATCTCACGCCAATATACCTGTAGAGAATTCTATGTCAGATTTATTGTGTGATTGCGATTTTGCTTCCATTTTCCCCAGTCTAAACCTCATGTACGAAAAAATGGTAACAAGATAATGTCACTAATAATCGTAATGCATGCATACTCAGCTCCATGTAATGAGAATGTTTCAGATGATTGATGTGTTGATCCGATGTAGTCAAGTGACAAAGACTCACAGCATACACACGATGTGCCCACATATTTCTACTCTGGTTATTCCTATAGATGTCAAAGAATGTGCGCTTCAGCTTTTTAACTCGATGTTAAGCAAGCTTAATTATATGTCTTTCCAATGGACATTGTACTCTCTGCGCAGCTCGAAACTGGTTTAAGTCACAATTCAGTCTGGGGTTCTCCTTTAGCTTTTGGGCCCACCTCTTCTCCAAATTTTCTAACTGCACTAACCGCTTTCGAGCATGCTCTCCCAGATCACTTATTCCACCGTCGCCCGAATATTTCAGTCAAACTATCAGTTATGTGAAGCATCTTCAAAGCGTCGCTGTTCGGATGTGTTTATTGACCGCTAATTTTGCCCGCTAAACACACCTCTGCGACCAGTTTAATCATCATCGGCTAAACAACCTGAGCCGGAAACACTACTGTTTACCTCCTTTAGTACAGTTTATGTTCCCTCTTTCGTCGATGATTGCTGAAAGTTGTATTTTTTTGCCCAACGCGTGTCTCTTTGCTACATCCTCACCCTGGAAAATTACATTGTCCAAGTGTATCAAGTACGACACCTCATTCCCGTTGGTTTCATCCGTTTCTGAACCATCTTCCGGACAGTGAGTGAGCTTGATCGCTACCCAAGTTCGACTTGAAAAAACTCCGTAGAAACAGCTTCCATAGTTTTGAATAGATTGGAAGCACTGGGGAGAGAGCTACCTTGGTCGTTCTGGATTTGAAGTTTTAATTCGATGCCTACAACTTGCAGGTTGCAGGCCTTTGGTTATTGGCCTTCGGTGGTTTTGTTCAAATTATATGTGAGCAGTTTATTTGTGCTTGGTCGCCTATTTTTTTTAATCTCGCTGCCCGGCTAATTTCACCAAGCTCTTGCATAAGGGCTTTTCAACTCTCTTCATTTCATTCTTAGCGTTCATTTGCTAGAGTTCATCTATGACGGTGGGAGCTTGTGTGTTTGTGTGTGTGTGTTCAAGTTCAAGTTCGTTCAGCTGTAGCACCCTTTCGGTGCCTACATGCCATGCCACCCGAAGGCTGCACGAGGGCTGGGATACTGTCAGGTTGCCCAAGCCTAGACAGGGGACGTCGAGAGGCAGAGGTCGGGTTCGAACCACGGACCTTCCGGTCATTAAATTCGCGCTCTAACCACTTGGGCGTATTTGGAGGTCCACACATTTGTTTGTTTTGACTCAGTTGGTCTCACTTGTTCAGTGTTCTACTGTAGACTGTGAAGAACTGCAAGAATGATATTGCAATGAGTCCTGAAAACTGATTAATTATTCCTAATTCCGGTTAGATTTCAACACAGCTTGTTCAGTATTCACGGGGGGGGACCCATCACAATGGTTTATGTGGGTAAACTGTTCTAAGGGTACCTTGTTTAGCCGGGATCAAACAAGATTCGGAATGGCCACGGAGAACTATTGCAATGCTCCACTTTTTTATCCAACTTTTATCTTTCTGTTGCTGGTACCTTACTTCGCCCGTTCTGACAATGCGCATTCTACCATACCCGTCACGTGGGAACCTTTGTTTCAATACTGTTTGCACGGTGATCTCATTGCACGCTCCTGTTCTTTCCCCTCGCAGGCGCGACACATTCAACCATTTGGCGTCGTGGCTTGAAGATGCCCGTCAGCGGGCCAGTTCGAGCATGGTTATTACGCTGGTTGGAAACAAATGTGACCTGGACTCGCGGCGTGAGGTTGGGCGAGACGAAGCCGAGGCTTTTGCTCGTGAACACGGACTTTTGTTCACTGAGACCTCAGCCAAGACCGGAATCAATGTTGAGGAAGCCTTCGCCTGCACAGCACGTGCCATTTACGAGCGCTTGCAAGAAGGCGTACTGGATATTAACAATGAGGTAGGTTTGTGCGATCGCATCGTATTATTCCATTTTGATTGTATACCGAAAAACTCCATCCACTCGTTCCCCCGGCGGCTTGTTCATGCGTTCACGACAACCACAACTGAATACAAACATGCCATCCGGGTCCACCGAATGACCGGTGGACCATCACATTCATGGACGACTGGCAGAATAAGTGTTCAAGTATATCAAGGTTACCACCCATCAAGCGTGTCTGTTTATCGAATGCCCATGTGATGTACCATGGAAATTCCCAGTTCTCAATAGGATTTCCCTGAAAAAACGCCCTACTCAGGACTGGTGAAACTCTTTGACAACCCTCGACCGGTCTCGCCCTTCTTGCGGCTCATCAAGCAGTCTTAGTCCCTAAGTTTCCATAAGCCTTATGTTCTATTTGAACACCAAATTGCACGTGATTGATGAACTACACGTATTTGCAAATCGTACCTTGTGTGTTGTGTCAAGAATCTATACTACAACATCTCGAATATCATGTTAGCTGACCGAAACATTAGATGGACTTTGTGCAGAAAAGCATGAACGAGAAACTAATGCGAATCTTTGATTAACACTAGACGTCAGTCGTGACGTTCATCGTGTATTCTTATGTCGAACCTTTTATTTACTAAATCTGAAAATAATTGAGCGAACTGAGTGACAACGGAATCTGCTTATGGAAGAGTTCCATATTTGACTCTTCGCATTTTGCTCCATTGAGAGAATACCGACTGAATGTTGCACTCAGAAATATTAAAACAGGTAATAGAAATTGTATACGCACTTCAATCCAGTCTGGCAAATGGTTCCACGGAAACGACAGTTACTCGAACATTACTCCTAACGAATGCTATGTTATGCCATACTCCCCTAACTACTCATAGGAGCCTGAGGCGCTTCCTGTTTTTTCTACTGTGAACTGTACTAGGTTTTGGTGATGTAAGCGTGAAATTCCCAAGTTCTCTCGCAAAACCATCCACGTCGAATTTGTGCAAATCTCTTTTAAGCTGGAATTTACCAGTCCGTCGTTGTGCATAGGCTCATGTTGATTTTCGGTGCCATTGATCAGTGCCAGGCATATCTTGACGAGTACATGTTGAGTTGTATGTGCATTGGTATTCTACTGAACTTATTTACAAAAATGTTCTCACGCTACCGATGACTAAGTAAATACTTTGAGATTACATAGACATATACAAATGTGTGTGCGTCGTCATTGTTTCGTGGTGATACTGCGGTACTTTCAACCCATACTACAGATGTAGCAAGTCAATCCGACTCGAAGGGTCTTTAGTAAGGAACACTGTGGGATTCGAACAAACGAAAAACAGAGACTAGTAATTCGAGTAATGTGTGCCACGTGGTGATTATTGTTAATAAAGGGGGTAGTTACAACAATATGCGGGAAACACCCTAGGTGTGAAACGCTTGACAAACTTGTTTGCATGTTGTATAACCGATTTTGCAGGTAACAAGCACTTCATTCCTCCAAATCATAGTTGAATATTTTTGCCTCGAATAGTACTGTGAATCGACACGCCGCGAGCACTTAAAGGCAGCTTGAGGTGAGCGTTCCGCTTGCCACTTATGAATATGAAGCTGAGCTTATAACGCTCTGTCTTGTTTGAATTGGAATAAATCGGCTGGATCCATTGAATAAAACTATACTCTAGAATAAGTGTGAAAAATGCTTAAATCTCGGTTTCACCAAATCTGCAGCAGTCTTTTAATAACTTACACCACGGATAAGGCACCCACAGTAGTATCCTGGATTCCCGGCAGCAAGGTCTGAGCATGGCTTTAATGAACTTCTGTTCCACTGTTTGACTTTGCGGACCTCCTGCCGACGAACTAGTTCAACATCGGTCTTAACTTTAGACAGCCAGGTCCTCCGACGCGACCGTGCTATCCTGAGACCTTCAAAAGTCAGGAATCTGGTTTATGTAGAATATGCCCCACACATTTTGGTATGCGTCGTTAGATCAACTTGGAAAGATATATTTTACTTTTCACCAATGGTCCCTGATACCATCTTTGGGTATTCTTCTGTTCCAACATGCTCCACCTATTCTCCTCAACTACCAGTAGTCAAATACTTCGAGTCTTCGAAGAGCCCTCAGTAAAATTCTCCCAAGTATGCAGACTTGGTGTGCCGTTCTGAGACTTGAGGGAACACTTCCAAGTAGGACTGGGTCACAAGACTTGTGCGGTGAAATTTCCCATAAACCGGCACCAGTTACCTATCTGATTAAGTGAATTGCAGTCGCGACTGTCCTTAATGTGGCTGTGAGCTCATGAAACGCTATTTCCATCTGGAGACGTGGCTTCTTTTGCGGTAGCACGTCAAAGTATCCAACGAAGTTGGTCTCCCTTGCATGGATTCCGAACGTTAGTAAAGGTTTTAGGGGACCAACTATATGTAGTCACTTTTGAAGAATAATCACTCATCTAGAAATACGACAGAGCACTGAACCTAGCACCGTTTACCCATGCACACCAACACTATCATTCAGGCGATACCACCAACTTCTCTTCACGCAGGAACTCGGTTAAATTTAAGGATTTCCAGGGTTTCTCCAGAACTTCACAGTTGACTATATTTCCACGACGCAGCTATCCCGTTAGGGTCACTTTCTACTGTTCTCTCGAGGCATTTCCAGTCGTTGGTTGGTCCCTTGAGTTCGTCTACCCCGAGGGTGACCTCTTTAGAAGAGGGACAGCTGTTCATTCAGTGTTTAAGTCCATTTCAGAAAAGACCATTTCTTAGCAGGTGTTCACAGTCTCTCTAGAGGAGAAAACTATGTTTTCTAAATGAGACAACAATGCGCCTGATTGGTTGGTCTTCATGCTAATTGGGCCTTGATGTTGAGCGCTATGATATCGGATGATCGGACTGACCATGAGAGATGCCCCATGCCATTTGCAGGTAAATTCCCAACTTCGATAGCAGTTAGCAGAGAGTCGCTTCGTGAACATACAGTCCTTCTGTGTGTCATTTGAAAGGATACCTCACTGGGCTCTGCTATCACTGTTGTTGAAGCAGTGGGTATTGCAGACCTCCACTTTATCGAAGCCAAATTGTATGGTCATTCACCGCACTTCTTTTCACACACACCAGGTTGTAATGGTGAGCAGGATTCAAACCGCACATTGCTTCTCGTGAAAATAGCACAAGAATTAATAGGGAACTAGCAGTGAAGAAAATTAGGGACGATTTTGTCTACGTATTCGTGCCGTGTTAAATGGGGTAGATTATAAAACCTAGATTATTCAGTCTGTTCGAAAGCATGTATGACCATCGATTTGAGTGGGGCCGACAGAAGATAAAGTGATGTAGACGTGTCTGCTCCGCTTTGGTGTTCCCACAATCTCAGAGCGTTTAAATCTAATTGACTACAGTCCGAGTTCGCGTATCCACTGTTATGCGGCTTTTTTTGTTTTGGTTGAACAAATAGACTTCCGGTAGTGTAGAACATGCTCTGTCAACAGCGATCCTGTTCACTTAATTTATTAAAATACAATTTTCATCAGTGCAGCAAGTGAGATGGAAGTAATGAAGCCACAGAAACCCGTGGGCAGGTCAAAAGCGAAACGTTGCCCAAATAAAAACTACCGATTGAGACGAAGTCTTCGATAACTTTTCACCAGCATGAACTTATTGCTTCCGGTTGGTGATTGTGTAATGGGTCGAAAATCAAATAACAAACAATCGTAGAACCATTCCGGTACCTAGCTATCATGCCACCCTAGGGAGGCACGAGGGCCGAGATGGGGCCAGGTTACCCAAGCCTAGACAGGACCAGTCCAGATGCCGAGGGTGGGTTCGAACCACCGAACTATCTGTATCTTCATCCCGAAACGCTCATGCAGTAGAAGTTCTTGATTGGTTGAATCGAATGCACTACTGAAGTCCATAAAGCAAACGCGGCGCTTTTAGTTTCAGTGTCTTAGGTCTTAATAACTGTGCGACGGAGGCAACCTGCTCAATCTGCAGTAGATCAAAGCCTCTTAGATGCGAATTGTATAGCCCTGGGGACCTCCCAGTAAGGGATTTTTGATGCCAGAGGGTAACTGCTCCAACGCTCAATAAAACTCAGGTGCAGTAAACAGAAAGGAATTTCGGTAGATCACCAGGTTGGCAAGCTTTAATCGTGACAGCTCTGGCTGTCTTCATTCGCCAACAATACAAAATTTTTCTAAGATATGATAGAATAAGTGGCACAATGGTACAGAGGTTTTCCAAGCACAGAACTTATGTACCAAAGAATAAACGTTTCCAGCCCACCGGTTTTGTTCCGGTAAATTTTATTCAGCTCAATATAAACTTATCTAGATAGAAATCTTTGTTAGTTGAATATTTGGGCTCCTTGGTGATACGTGCATATCCAAACGGATGATATTGTAAACTTTTATGGCAAGATAGTTTTGAGTTCGCTGAGATCTATCCTCCTGACCTCGGGCAAAACGCCGATGATGGAGTAGCCAGACATTGGTGAAGACATCTATAGCCATGCAAGACAAGTTTGTTGATTGTAAAGCTTGATGCTTGTCATTCTAGGTGCTCCTAGAAGAGAAACTATTCAGGGAAATGCACAAACTTTCTACTTTAGACCAAGAATCAGTGAACTTATTGGAAAACCTCAACTGTAGTGTTGACATGAACTACTGGGACGGACCTTGTAGTACTGAGGGAACCGGGCCTGCATACATCGATCAGCCAGTTTAAGGTTGATGAGCCGGCAATGAACGCATTTTAGAACGCCAGCTACTTCCCAATCTACTCGGGCCAGTCAGAAATTCTGTGGGACTGGTGGACCACTCGGACCGTTGTTTGACTGTGTTCGATCAGAATTCGGGAATCAATACCAGAGAGGCGTTTATGTACGATTCTCCCGTGTGAGAATATTGCGCAGGTTGTCCCAGGATAGATCATGTGTAGACAGGCATGGTGCGTGACCGAATCATTATTTTTGAAGTGCTTAACACCCGACACAAGGATTTCCCTTTTTGCTTGTGTTTATACTTATCTGGGAGTACTTTTTCAAGTCTGTCAATAGGATCCCTTCACTGAACAGTAGTCAGAATTACACAATACGCAAACTGAGCATCAAATCCCGCATTTTCGTTGACTTGGTATCAGCTGTCTATTTATGCGACGGTCAGCTCAGAATTTAGAGGACAAGTAACCTTGAATAATCCGATTAGGGCTGTGAGAAAATTGGTGCTACCGAAATTTGAATTTCCGCCTGGTGGTCATGTGATTTTGGCGCTCGAATCTTCATCGTTGGGCCCGCGATAACAGAGTTCCAGGGAACTAATCCCAGAGACTTTAGTTCCGTAGGCCTTACTTTGACGCATTTTGGCACCATTTGCCCAAAGTAAACTTGACAGCCGTTTTGAAACTTGTTAAGTTTGCAAATTTTTCGCTTCTAAATACAGTAGTCCTCCACACAAAAGGTGATTGTTTCCACGGTTGATTCTCATGATGTTGATGATGATGATGACCATAGGAGTGGTCAGTACCTAGCACTATCATCCACCCAAGGATTTTGCTGTTGTGGCAAGGTGTTAATGGGGGCCTGTGGGAGCTACAGGCTTTGAGCGACCGCGGACGAATCTGGCCAAGCATTGTTGCAGTGTTACTGCTTCAAAATGCCACATTCTTGTGGGAGAATATTTGGCTCAGCAGTAGCGTTTGATTGCAAATACAAGGATTTACACTTTGGTCACGTACAGGACTGGATTCAGAAGTGAGCTAATAATGCGCCTTTAGTTGGTGTTTGCAGAGCAATCGTTTTTTTTCTATACCATGAACTTATCCTTAGCTCTGACAATAATTTAGACGGGTGACAGTAATGGCTTCGATTGTGGGATGGTTTTGTACTGAAGCTCTAATGAGGAAGTTCACAAAATCACTCCGCTCGTTTCAGTAATTCATCACGTTATTGTCGAAAAATATGGCAAGGTTAAGAATATTCAAGGGCAGGTATTTCGCGAATTGTTCCCAAAGAAACTTCAACTGGCAAGGACACTTAAGTAGTCGATTATATTCAAATATGAATAAAATATGGTACTTGGAAGTGCAAAAATGCCGTCTGATGGTGCCGAACTACGGGTTCAGTTGTATCAGTCAGTTGGAATTGATCGAAGAGAATTAATTGACTGGCCAAGGAAGCAGCAATGCTTTAACGTGACAATTCTGCTAACACGGGAAGTGCTTATTTAATCTAACAGCGATCGCTTGCACCGTCATGATTGCATTTTGAGAGATGATTTTGGAACGATTGTGTGGCTTTCAGGAAGTAATGTTGAACGATTATGTCTCCATCTTTGATAATATTAGCTTTCATTTTCCACCGATCCCCACATTCTCGCCTCATCTGTCCTCCCCTCTACAAACAGGCTGCCGGAGTCAGACTTGGACCCCAACCACCGCCCTCGAATCAGCGAACATCTTACGGACCCGTCAACCCATCCACAGGTCGAAACCGCGACGCTCCTCGCAGAGGGTGCTGCTGATACCTGTTACCCTTTCCCTTTGCCAAACTCTCTGCGATATTTTATAACATCTTGACGAGAACCTGTTTTTTCGCATTTATTTGTGCCTACTTCTTCCTCTCTTTTGTTCCAGTACAAGGACTCCTTGCGACATTTCTTTCAACAAACCTCTGCCGGTTTTGCAGGTGCCCGGTACTCCAACTGCTGTGATCTTGGATGACAGTGATAATGCCGGCACTTTTGCTGGTGTCCACCTTTTCCTTCGGTTTTTGTCATCCTAAAAATTTTATTGTTTCTTTTTCTATCTGTACAGTGCTCGTATTTTGTGATTGAATTTTATCAACGGATCTGTCTAGTTCACCTTGTGCGCCTGTGTCAACTCTCATGTATGAATTTTGAAAAATACCGGATCTTGCTCTGTCGGTTAACTTGTTTACTCATAAACTCGAATTTCGCAACAGGAGTTGGGAAACCGCCAAGCCAGATATGGTGATTCCCTTTCCTGAAAGTGGGAAGGATTCTTACATATTGAAAGACTTGTCTTGCGTCTTATTTGTTCACTGTCCAATTCCATGTAAACAGGACATCCGCGTGAAGTAACTCTTGACCGAAAAACCACTTTTGCAAAGGAGGTTCATTATGGTTGCTAGACCTCAGCTAATGTGTCTGAGGGACCATGATAGCATTATTTTACACCTCATCAAATAGACGCCATCAAAATTCAGACACACGGAATGGAATGAGGAGGAAGGCCGTGTCCGATGTTATTTCATGCGACCGCTATCGTTTAACGGTCAGTTTCGCTCAGACCTTAATTATGTTGCGGATTATGCCTAGGTTTACGAATAAGCACCTATGGGTTCGACCTAGTTTGGGGAGCTCCGGTCATCCGCACAAGCCAGCTTAGCTGAGTAGCTTTCTGTGACCTAATGAACAGAAGAAACGGGATTGTCAGTAGTGCTCCTCGCACGAGCTACCAGGGCGATTCGAAGCCATATCTCTGTGGGCTTTACAATTCAAGGAGAACCACTGGAGATTGTGGAAAACCTTGCATACCTCGGTAGTTGTATTAGTTCTGACGGAAGTGTGTCTGATGAATTCAGTGCGAGGATATCCAAGGCTCGAATCACGTTTGCTAATTTGCGTCACCTGTGGCGTCAAAAAGGCATCTCACTGGATCTTAAGGGTCGTGTGTACCAGGCTACAGTAAGGGCAGTGTTGTTGTATGGGTGCGAGACATGGCCTCTGCGGACAGATAATGTGAGGCGTCTTCAGGTTTTCGACCACCGATGCCTCAGAAGCGTGGCTGGTTGTGGATGGCGTCAGCGTGTCAGTAACGGGGTTATTAGAAAACGGGTATTTGGTTGTGCTGCAGGCACCTCAATCCGGGAAAACATCCAGCAGCATCGACTGCGATGGCTCGGTCATGTGCTACGCATGCCGAAACACCGTCTACCGAGACGAGTGTTGTTCTCCGTGCCCCCCCCTTCAGAACGGCGTAAACCGCGGGGTGGACAGCACATGACTTGGCAGAAAGGCGTGAAAGAGATTACGAAGAGTTTGGGTGTTGTGCGCCTTCCAGGATGGGGTCCTCGTGGCTCGACCTGTGCTTGGCTGGAAACTTCGCAAGAAACGGCGGCTAATGAATGTCAGTGGCGCCCTTGCTGTCAATTTTTTTAGAATCAGAGTT